AAACTTAATTGGCTCGAAAAAAAGTACATGGATTTAATTGACTTTTTAGTAAAAGTATGTAGACTTATTTGAAAATTTTATTTTTGTTCCGATTTTGCAAATTTTCAGATCAGATGTGTATTGGTGGGACCTCGAGAAAATTTCTGAGTGTAAACCACGAGAACCACCTTCTCGACGTTTGAATATCGAGAAGTAGGTTCTCGATGTTTAAATACCGAGAAGCTCTTCTCGATACTCAAATATCGAGAACTGGGTTCTCGAGATGAAAGTATCGAAAAGTCCTTCTCGATATTCAAACATCGAAAACCCTTTCTCGAGGTTTAGCATCGAGAACCTCTTCTCAGTATTTCAAAGTTCGAGAAGTAGGTTCTCGGTTTTAAACATCGAAAAGCCCCTTTTCGAAGTTTAATATCGAGAACCGAACCTCGAATTTTGAAATATCGAGAAGTTGATCTCGAGTTCTAAACGTCGAGAAATTGAATTTCTCGAGTTTGCACTCAGAGTAATGTCGAGAACCACCTGCAAAAACATATATAAAAAGCTTTTCGATGTTCAGTTTTCAGGTTCGAGAAGAATAGTTCTCGATATGTCAAAACAGGATTTTTTCAAAAATTTTCATCGAGAACCTTGCCATTGTGTGCGAGAAACATATATGAAGGGGTTATTGATGATCGAAAACCATTTATTCTACCTTTGGAGAGTTTTGGGAGGAGTTCGAAAGATGGAATATGAGAAAGCTTGTGGACTTCGAGAACTCAGATGCGAGAAAAGTGAATTATGAGAAGAAGTTCTCGAAGTCAGCTTTTATATGCGAGAAATTGGGTTTGGGCCTTGTGAGAAAAAGTCTGGGCCCAATTGTTTGAGTTGGGTCCAGTTCAGTTTTAAACAGATTTGGGCCCCAATTTTATTTTTGGTACAGAACTCCCCCTCGAATAGGGCATGAAAAAAAAATGAAAAACACACACACTCTTTTTCTTTTATTTTCTCATTTTCTCACACACTCACACACACACTTTTTCTTTCTTTTCTCATTTTCTCACACACACACACACTCCTTTTCTTTTCTTTTCTCATTTTCTCACACACTCACACACACACTCTTTTTCTTTTCTTTTCTCAATTTCTCACACACTCACACACACACTCTTTTTCTTTTCTTTTCTCATTTTCTCACACACTCACACACACACACTCTTTTTCTTTGTTTTCTCATTTTCTCACACACACACACACACACACACACTCTTTTTCTTTTCTTTTCTCATTTTCTCACACACTCACACACACACTCTTTTTCTTTCTTTTCTCATTTTCTCCCACTTTTTTTTTCAGAATTTCTCTCCAGAATTTCTCCCCCTCAAAACATGAACATACTTCTTCTTGTTTTATTTTCTCCCTGTTCTCCCCCTTAACACATGCAACGCACACCACACACACACATTTTATTTAGACCATGGAGATAACACAATTACATAGGATTGAGATTCAACATGCCTAACTTAGATACTAGGAACTGGAATCTTTTTTCATCCAGTGCCTTAGTAAATATGTCAGCTAGTTGAAGCTCAGTGCTTACAAAGTATAAATCAACATCTCCTTTCTCCACATGGTCTTTGATGAAGTGGTAGCGCAGATCGATGTGCTTGGTGCCGAGTGATGAACGGGGTTGCTGGTTATGGCGATTGCACTCTGGGAGTCACTGTAGATCGGGATGTGGTTGAACAAGAAGCCATAGTCTCTGAGCTGGGTCCTCATCCATAGGATTTGTGAACAACAACTAGCAGCCGCAACATATTCGGCTTCGGCTGTAGAAGTTGACACACAGTTCTGCTTCTTGGAGGACATACAAACTAGCTTCTCTCCCAGAAATTGAGCACCACCGGATGTACTCTTCCGGTCTAACTTGCAACCTGCAAAATCAGCATCTGAGTAACCAACAAGGTCAAAACCCGTGTCTTTGGGATACCAAAGTTCTAAGTTGACTGTTCCTTTCAGGTATCTCAGGATTCTTTTTACTGCACCCAGATGTGATTCCTTTAGATTCGGCTGAAAGCGTGCGCACAGGCAAGTTGCAAAGACAATATCCGGTCTACTAGATGTCAGGAACCAATGATAGCTCGATAGTTGGTAGCATCGACTGATATCCCGGACGGGTCAGAGTCGAGCTTCTATGAGGGAGACATAGGGGTTTTCATGGTTGACTTGTTGTCCATCTTGAATCTCTTGAGCATTTCATGGATGTACTTCGACTGGCTGATGAATATTCCGTCTGGCATTTGCTTGATTTGTAGCCCTAGAAAGAAGTTCAACTTTCCCATCATACTCATTTCAAACTCAGTGCGCATCAAGTTGTTGAATTCTTCGCAGAAGTTCGGATTTGATGATGCGAATATGATGTCATCCACATAGATTTGTATCAGCATGATGTCACTGTTCTCTCGCTTGATGAAAAGAGTTGGATCTATTTTCCCCTTCAAGTAGCCTGATTGCACAAGAAAGTCAGATAGTGCATCATACCAGGCTCTCGGTGCCTGTTTTAGTCCATACAGAGCTTTCTTCAGCTTGTAGACATAATGTGGGCGCTCAGGATCAACAAAGCCTTCTGGTTGTGCCACGAACACTTCTTCTTTTATTTCGCCATTCAGAAACGCATTCTTCACATCCATTTGATAGACGGTGAAACTTTTATGAGCAGCATACGCAAGGAACAACCTGATTGCTTCAATTCTAGCCACTGGTGCAAAGGTTTCATCATAGTCAATTCCTTCTTGTTGATTGTATCCTTTTGCGACCAGTCGGGCTTTGTTCCTTATGATCACACCGTCTTCATCCTTCTTGTTCTTGAAGACCCACTTGGTGCCAATTATTGTTTTCTTTGGGGGCCTTGGCACCAGGGTCCATACATCTAATCTTTCAAATTGATTAATCTCTTCCTGCATTGCGATCACCCAATCAGGATCTGCCAGTGCTTCAGAAACTTTGGTTGGCTCAGATTGGCTGATGAAGCAGGAGAAGAGACATTCATTTGCTGTGGGTGTTCTTGTGCACACTCCACGACTCGGATCCCCAATTATTTGATCTACTGGATGTGCCTTCGTCCATTTCCGCTCATGAATAAGAGGGATTGGAGTTATGATGGGATGAGTCGGATCCTCAAAGGTAGTGGATATGGTTTGTTGAGGTGTGGAGTGCACAGGGGTTGATTCTGGTTCTGTATTTGCTTGAGCTGGTAATTCTGGAACTTGTGCTGGTGAAGTTGCTTGTGTTGCTCCCGTGCCATGATCCTCAATATCTTCTTGATCAGATGTAGGAGGTGAATCAGCTTCTTCTTCAGTGGGGTCAGGCATGAATGGTGGATGTGCAGCTTCTGTCGGTGATTGTGGGTTGGCAGTGCGTGCATTCTCATAGAAATGTTCAAATAGAGAGTCAAGAATCGCACTGTCAGCTGTTGTTTGCTTTGTTACTTCAGCTCCATCAGGTTGCTTTCCATTGGCAGAGAGATTGGGTTCTATCAAGAAATGTTCAGAAGCAAAATCAGCCATTTCATAGAAATGCTACATTGACACTCTCAATGACTGTTCTGCGCTCACGTAAGTAGACCCGATATGCCTTGGATTGCGTAGAGTATCCAATGAATACTCCTTCGATAGCTTTCGGATCCATCTTGCTTCTTTCATTTATGTCATTTAGAATGAAGCACTTGCAACCAAATACTCTGAAAAATGAGATATCAGGAGTTCTGTTGAAGAGAATTTCATATGGTGTCTTGTTGAAGCGCTTGTGGATTGATGTTCTGTTCTGAGTAAAGCACGCAGTGTTGATTGCTTCAGCCCACATGAAATGGGGAAGCTTTGATTGGATGAGCATGGTGCGTGCTGCCTCAACCAGTATTCTGTTCTTTCTCTCAACGACTCCATTCTGTTGTGGCGTTTTTGCTGCAGAGAATTGTTGAGTGATACCCTTAGTTGCATAGAAATCATCAAGAGACTGATTCTTGAACTCGGTACCATTATCAGTTCTGATGATTTCCACACTCTTCTGCAGAAAGTTTTGGATTGTCCTGATGAAGGTTATGATGGTTTCTGCTGTCTCATCCTTTGTCCTCAGAAATTTGGTCCATGTATACCGAGAGAAGTCGTCCACAATGACAAGTGTGTATTTGCGTCCATTAATGCTTTGGACTCTCATCGGTCCACATAGATCCATATGGAGTAATTGCAGCAGACGAGAAGAGGATGGAACAGGTTTTAACTTGTGAGAGCTCCTTTTCATTTTGCCTAGTCTGCAGGCATCACAATGATTGTCAGTGGAAGTCTTCAAAGGAGGCAGCCCTTTCACAAGTTTCTTGGAGGACAGAGTTGTGAGATACTTGAAGTTGAGATGAGACAAGCGTATGTGCCATAGATGCAAAAACGTGAACCATGCATATGTGGCATGAATGATAGCCAATTAAAAAATAACAAATATAATATCTCTCTCCTTATTTGAACGGTCTTATATGTTTTTGGTAAGTTTTTCTTCACAATGTCAAGCACAATGTCTAGATGTAGACACCGTGGTTGACATTGCAGAGAAAAACTTACCAAAAACACATAAAACCGTGGACAGAAGGAAAGAGAAATGTCAAAATTTTAATTTTCTTGTGTCTATGTCTCTTATGCCACACGTGCACCATTGTATTGGATGCTCTAACAGGCTAAGGGAGTGTTTGCAACTGCTTCTGCTTAAAAAAAAGCACTTTTGGAGAAGTAATGAAAAAGTGATTGATAGTAAAAGTTGATAGTGTTTGAGAAAAAAGTGATTTTGAAAAGTAAAAGTTGGTAGTGTTTGGTAAAATAAGTGCTTTTTGTGTAATAGAAAAGGGAAAAGCACTTTTCACACGCAAGCCGAGAAAAAGTAAAAATTGGTAGTGTTTGGTAAATAAGTGCTTTTTAAAGCCAAAAGTTGAGAAATGTTTTTTTTTAAGCAGTTGCAAACACTCCCTAAGACGGGGAGTATATAATTGGAGTCCCTTGCGATTCAAACCCTAAGCATCTTGTCCATTGCAATTCAACCATATAAGCATCTTCCGTGTTCAGAGTCGAATAGAAACGACAGCTTTGAAAACATTCTCAGCAATGGAGGAAATCTCGCAATCATCCGCGCCACCACTTGATTCCCTCAAACTGTCCCACAAGATTACGGAAGTCGCCGCCGGAGACGCTCACACTCTCGCTCTCACCGGTTTCAATTCATTCAATTTATCATTTCAATTGTTACTTAATCATTATCGTTAGTGCATAAGTTTTTTCATTTTCGTTTTTGTTGAGCTAAAAGTGTTCTCTTGCAGCGGATGGGAGCGTTTATTTCAAAGTAGTCTGGAAAATACATGACTATTCAATTCTCTTAGTTGTTTATGACACCATATTGGCAATTTTGATGTGATAGATTTTCCTGAAATATAATTGCAGATGAAAGTGGAAAAGCTGAAATCTCCTCTCAAAAAAGAAAAAGAATAATGGAGGAAATCTCGCAATCATCCGTTCCACCACTTGATTCCCTCAAACTGTCCCACAAGATTACCGAAGTAGCCGCCGGGGAAGCTCACACTCTCGCTCTCACCGGTTTCAATTCATTCAATTTATTATTTCAATTGTTACTTAATCATTATCGTTAGTGCATAAGTTTTTTCATTTTCCTTTTTGTTGAGCTAAAAGTATTCTCTTGCAGCGGATGGGAACGTTTATTCTTGGGGAACAGGAGTGTTTGGCCGCCTCGGCACTGGATCGGAGATCGACCAGATGTTTCCTGTCAGAGTTGAGTTTGGCTCTGCAGCTGTTAAGATTGTGGCTATTGCGGCTGGAGCTTATCACAGTCTCGCGCTTGCAGGCAGGGCTACGATTAGCTTTTTGTAGTGTTTATTTTCCTTGTTTGATGGTTATATTGTAATATTAAATGCTTTGGTCTTTCTAAGTGAAAAATCTGTCTTCACAACAGGTATTTGAATTTGAATGAGCTCATAAATTATTATAAGATGCCATATTAAAACGGGACAGTAATTCAACATAATTGATACACCACTTATTAACACGGAACTATGGAGTCTAATCATTAAATGACCCTAATACAGTCATGAAAGTTGTTCTTTGATGTACACTAAACCTCTTCAAAACTACACTATCTAGTTTATACATTTATGTCATGTAAATCATAAATGAGACCTATCAAAATTTATAATTTCCTCATACTTCCAACTGAAAACAGATCACATATTCGTATTTACACAAGTACGGGTCAAGGTGATTCTATTTAAACAAATAATTGTAGCTCTTCATGCTGATGTAAATCCTGTTAATCCTTTTGAAATACATGCTGATGTTTATTCACTGCTATGTTATTTAGATGCACCCAATACCAATAAACTCTAATAGCTGTTCGTAACTCATGTGCTCTCTTTGTGTCTTTTTCATTGCAGATGATGGGTCTATTTGGGGATGGGGTTTTAATGCACGTATCCTTCAGTTTTTTTTTTTTTCATTTAACAAATACCCTTGCTGCATCGACTTCACAGATAAAGGAATGTTTGTCATCACCATTTTAAAATCCTTGACTGATACATGGATGACCAACTTGGTGCAAATGGAGAAAATTTGCTAGCTCCTCATTTACTCAAAGGATTCATCGGGCTGGGTTCCCTGAATGCCTCAAGAGAGGAAGCGGAAAACAAGGTATTAATGGTAAGCTATTTTCATAATGATTGACCCTCATAGGAACTATGAACAGATGAATAGCCAGTTAGTGGTTACCCTTGCAGTAGGGTCCGTTTGGAACTTGGAAAGTGCTGTGAAAAGAAAACAGGAAGGAAATAAAGTATGAAGAGAATAAAAAATTGATTTAAACTATTTATGATGTTTTTAATTGGATTGAAATATTTTGTCTGGTCTGCTTAAGTCTTGTTTGGTCTGGTCTGGTTGGGGATTATTCTATGTAAAATTTTCAATTGTCAAAGTTTGGCCTTCTGACTATATCTGGTTTGGGATTGAAACCAGTTCAATTAAAAACATCCTTAAAAAGCCGTAGTTGTTTTTCTTAACGGATGTTTTATTTAAATACATCTATTATAAAGACTAAGAAATCTAAGTATATGTAAACATTTGATATTCCATTTTATTTTGCAATATATTACCAGACATTTAAGATATCCTGTATTTTGCCCCATTTCCTACCTTTTCCCAAGTTCTATAAATAGCTTTAGTTGACTGGTCCTTCATAAAAAAAACTTTGTATTCATTTCTTGCTCAGATGTCTTCTGTTAAAGCCGGAGCAATGATGTCTTTAGCAATTGACAGTCTAGGAGGTCTCTGGATATGGGGCAACTGCCCTCAGCCACAACAAGACAATCCAGTTGATGCTAAATTCTCTATCGCATGCACTCCTAATCCAACTCCTGTATGGAGCTTTCATGGGCACACTGTTGTTAAGGTAGCATGTGGATATGAGCATATTGTGGCATTAGTGACCACAGGGGAAACGTTCGACGGGGATAATGATCTTGTGTGCTATTCTTGGGGTGGAAACAGTCATGGCCAATTAGGTTTGGGGGATAAAGAAAGCCGAATCTTTCCGGAAATCGTCAAACCCTTTGATTCCCAATCCCCTTGGACTGTTTATGAGGTGGCGTGTGGGGCTTTCCACACAGCTTTACTATCAAAGAAAACCCAAAATGGCATATCAGGAAGTGTTTGCTGGACATTTGGCCTAGGTGAAAATGGGCAATTAGGTCATGGCACTAACCAAAGCCATTTATCCCCCGAACCAGTGAGAGAATTGCCAAGTACTGCAACTCTCATTTCGATTGACTGTGGTTTGTTCCACACCAGTCTTGTCTCATCAGCTGGAGATGTTTGGTCATGGGGAATGAAAAAAGGCATGGGTCTATGCCCCGGTACAAGGTTCACCGGAGATGAAACTGATGATGCAATGTTGCCTGTGTTGATCCATTGTGAATGTCGGCATAATAAGTTTCAAGAACCTGTCCAAGTTGTCTGTGGCGCAGCCCATACGGTTCTCCTCTCAGATTCTGGGTACAAGATCTGGTCGTGGGGACAGGGAAGGAGCGGGGTACTTGGAACCGGTCAAACAACTGATGCTTTCATTCCCACTCTCGCAATGTGGCCCCCACCTCTAGATGAAGGTAAGAACAAAAAAGGTAATGAAGAAATGAGACTTACCAAGGAGGTCTTTGAAATGCAGAAAAAGCTAAGTGCAGCCAAAATGGAGATAGGTCAGCTTCAAATGAAACTATCTGTGATTGGAAAGTACGCTGGCATCCTTCACAGCTCTATATTTGGGAAACCGTTTGATGACACACAAGATATCCCTGCCTCTGTGGACAGTGGGGGTACGCTCGAAATAGCAAAGGAGTGGAAAAACATGTGGGAGTGCTTGGATCTTGGAATGCTAGTGAGGCTAGAGATGTTTTACAGCAACATGCTTGCTGGTGTTAAGGATATCAAATTGAAGAGACGGATCAAGGAGATTGTTGTCGATTGCCTTGGCCCGATCCAGTTGTCTGGGACCGGTACCAGGTCAGGGACCTGGCCCGGTGGAGATGGCAAGCGGGCTCCGAGCTGATGTTTTATCTGTGAATGAGTTTTTTTTTTTGAAAGGGTCTGTGAATGAGGGTTAGTACCCATTATTTATGTCAATATAATGCACACAATGAATTGTACATTGTTAAAAAGTTGGACTTCACTTATCGCACATACTTTTGTACCCTTAAACACCCTCCGTTAACAAATACTCCCTCCGTTTCTATTTGGTTGACACAGTTTGACTTGTCAAGATTTAAGAGAAAAAAGTTATTGAGGGGTAAATTTTACTGTAGAGTACACTGTTTGGCATTGTTTGAACACTGTTTGGCACTGTTTTGCACTGTTTAGGTAAAGATTTTTGTTTACCAAATAAGGAAATAAAGAAGTGTGGCATTCATTTTGAAATGTCCAAAAAAGGAAAGTGTGTCAACCAAATAGAAACGGAGGGAGTATTCACTTATCACCATGAAGACACCGACAATGGTATTTAAGTGGACTAAATGTTTTCCTTTTTAATTATTTTGTGCAATAGTATACGTAGTACCTCATATGTATTAGGTATGACTTTATTCGCGTATTCACTTAACTAGATGAAGTACCCGTGCGATGCACGGGGTACATCTAAAGTTGAGTAATAACCTATTTGAAATTACATTTTATTACGGAGTATAATGGTACATAATTAATGAGCAATTTTTAAAAAATGAAAAAAAGAAAAGGAAAAATAGTTTCTTCTAGAGTTTATAATTCATCGTTTGTAATAGAATGTTTTTAAATTAAAAAACTTTAACAATTTGTTAAAATTCGAATAAGTTGTTGACAATGCAAGAATGTCAAAGTCTATATTATATATTTTTGTATTTTTGGAACTATTTGTTTATTTTGCATCTTTTTTAAAGTTACTACTTCCTCCGTCCCAATTCGATGGTCTCGTTGCGGTTTACAATGCTTGAGCGATGATAAAGCAAACAAATTCATGTCCGCACTCAATTAATTTTTAGGAAAAAATATTACATATTTAGAAATTAAACTAAATTAAAAACTTTGCAAAGTTGCAAAAATCAGAATCAAATTTGATTAAAAAAAATTGATATATAAAGTAAGAGATTAAAAGTGATTTGTGTTTACCAAATAAATACGAACTTGGGATGTTTTTAATTGGACTGTAATTTGATGGTCTAATCTGGTCTGGTTTGGTTTGGTCTGAACTGGTCTGGTAATGTTTGGTCTATTTTTATAACCATTCAAGTCTAGTCTAGTCTGGTCTGATTTGGTCTGGGACAGATTACAGTCCAAGTAAAAACATCCTGAGACCATCAAATTGGAATGGTGGTATTACAATTTAATTTTATGTTTTTTTACACTTTCACTTTATTTTGTCCTGCATTTATTTTTTAAGATAACTTGTTAAAAAAAATTATATCCATTTTTGACCTAATACTATTTGTATACTGATACTACATTATTTTTTAAATCTATATGAAGTTTATAAGATTCATCATTTTTAATTTCCATTGCAAAAATAAGTAGTTGGAATTATTACTGCACCTGTCCCATTTTCTTTTTAAGTTGTCCAAAAAATATAAACATTTCCCTAAAGCAAACTTCAGTAACATTTTACTTTTACACTTGATAACTTTATATATATATCATTTGTGCTTGACAATTTGTGGACCAATTTTGCTTTTACTTGTTGGATTGAAGGTTCGTTAGAATTGTTAAAGGGATAAGGCTCAAATTGGACACTATGGTTTCATCAAAATCTCATATTGGACACTAAGGTTTCAAATGGACCAAATTAGACACTGTGGTTTCATATGTATCTTATATTGGACATTAAAGTTTCATAATTCATATGAGATTTTGATGAAACCATAGTGTCAAATTTGAGCCTTATCCCATTGTTAAATAACCACTTTATCCTTTACTTTCTTCAAACTCGCACCAAACTCGCACAAACCATTGTACTTCCATTATTATTTCTTGAAAAAAAAAAACAATTGATTTATTATGTATGTATGACTAATATAAGGATGATGGATGAAAATAAAACCTCTGATACAAAGATACTCCGTACTATGCTAGTAACTATTTGTGAACATGTTCTGATGTTCATATTCAATTTTGTATTGTCCCAATCATTGAACGATACTCATAATAACTTTAGTATCTTTTTATCCGTAAATTTTATACTCATAAAATTCATTAACTTTAGTATTTTTTTATCATATCATTGAATTATACTCATAATAACTTTAGCTTCATTAATATTCTAGTCGTATGAAAAACTCAATAATTATTCATGCCATTTAAAATAGATAATTAAAGCAAATCTATAATTTACTTTTTATCATTTTATTAATTTTATTATTATTGGTAAATATTATATGGGGTATTAATGGCTACTAAGTACACTTATATGACATATAGATGATATAAATTCTATAAAAGTATATTCTAATTATATAGCCTAATAATTTATTCAGATATATGTGTGTACACATAACACATTATACAATAGTTAGGCACTCATCTATTGTTTTATTTTTAAAAAAAATGACACCCCACCTCTTTGGGCCCCCCAACACCGGCTGGACGGTACAATATAATGGGAGGATGTAAATTGAACTATAATCACAATCTGACAAAATAGAGAGTGCGACTCTGTTCTCGGTACTTGCAGAGGCCCTATATGTTGAGTAATCTCTCATCGCAATTATCGAGATTCGAACCCAGTACATAACTCTTGCGGCACTCTCTCGCTACCTATTGATCGAGCTACGCCCACCGGTGTCTATTGTTTTATTGTATATATAGCTAGTGGGGTTTTTTGAAATTAGTTTGTTATGGCTTCTACTTCTACGGCGGCCCAGCCGCCACCTATACCTCCCGACGATGGGAGGAAATCGTTTGCTTCAGCGTTATTGGATATTGCGGCTGAACCTATTAAACCAGCCAGTCACTCCAAATTCAAGGGTTTGCCAGCAGTGACGTTTGAGGAATCTTCCATGGAAATCTTGGCGGCTAGGCATAAACATGCTCTGGTTGGTTACTTTTTCAAGGCCCGGCCATCTGTGATTACACTTCGTAAGTCTTTTGAAATTATAGGTTTCAAAGGGAAATTTCATCTTGGTCTTTTGGAAAAAAACATGTTTTGATTAGATTCGAATTGGAGGAGGATTACCTAAGGTGTTGGAATAGACAGACGTGGGATATTTTTGGTAGCACTATGCGTGTTACTAAATGGTCTACTGATTTCAAACCTAATGTTGAGTCTCCTGTTGTCCCGGTTTGGCTATCACTTGAGGGGTTGCCCATTCACCTTCATGATAAAAGGGCACTGTTTGACATTGCTAGACTAATTGGTAACCCATTGAAACTGGTTGCGGCTACTCTAAACCTCTCTAAGCCATGGGTGGCTAGGGTTTGTGTGGAAGTTGATCTTACTAAGGATATGCCGGTAAGATATGGATTCAAGCTGGGAAAAGTGGTTTTATTCAGCCTGTGGTGTATGAAAACAGGCCATATTATTGTATTTCATGTCTGCATCTGGGACATGACAAGACTAAGTGCCCTAAATTAATTAAACTGGGGAGTTCTCAGCCTATAGGATTAAAGGATTCGGTTGATCATTCTAAGGAGCTTGCTGTTACTTAGGATGTTTTCTTTTGGACTGTTTCCAGTCCCAGACCAGACCAGAACAGATCAGACCAGACCAGACTTAAACAGACCAAACCAGACCAGACCAGACCAGACTTAAACAGACCAGACCAGATCAGACCAGACTTGGATAGTTATAAAATACACAGAGACCAGACGTTTACCAGACCAGACCAGACCAGACCAGACCAGACTTAAACAGACCAGACCAGACCAGACCAATAAATTTCAGTCCAAAAGAAAACATCCTTACAGAGAGAAGCAAAAGGGGATTACAATCTCTGAAACTGGGAGGGGGATTGGAAATCAGATTAAGCAAAAAAAAGCTAGTGGGGTTTTTAATGAAAGTATTTTTTTGTCCAAACAATCTTCCACTTTCAACTACACCGGTATAATAGCACATAAATATGGTAGCTTGGTATTACAACGACCATAATTTAAGCTTAATTTGGCTATTCCAGTTAGAAAATGATTATGCATTGTAAGCTACGTTGTATAAAACTTAACTTTACGTATATCAATTCTTAACTTTTGTGGCTGGATTTCATGACAAATCAATTTGTCACATTGATTATTTTTGGGCGGAAATTTTCCTCCAAAAGTTGACAAACCAAAGTAGAATAAATAAAATGGGACTGAGGTAGTAACATTTTATACAAAGTGATCCTGAAGCAATACTCTGATACTCATAATAACTTTAGTCACATTTTTCTCAACAAATTTTTTATTAGAAAAACCCATTATTTTGCCAATGTCAGAGTTTTATAATAAAACCATTTCATATTTTACTTTTTCGAGTTTATCAATAATAATTATTATTATTACTAAATAATATTACTGCAAATTAGAATTAGAATAATTTATTTCATATTTTACTTTTTCGAGTTTATCAATAATAATTATTATTATTGCTAAATAATATTACTGCAAATTAGAATTAGAATCATTTATTTGTTGAAAATGCAAGTTAATATTGATTTATATCCAAAACATAGTCTAAAATCTAACCTAAACGGTTTTGATTTATTCCTGAAACTTAACTTTAAAAGTACACGTATACATTCCATAGGTGAATTGATCTATAATATTCCATAATAAACAGCCAAATAAAGAGAGGTATGAGGTACCATGTTTAAATATACTTGCTTAGCGTTAATATCCTACCATGATTAAAGCATCTACTTACGTTAATTACATGCAATAATATGGGACGGATGAGTTAAATGCAATTTTAGATGAAATGTAAATTACAAATATGCCACTAAAATGGGCGGGAATTTTCCCTCCAGTTGTGGTGCAACGACTGTTACTTTATATTATATAAAGATCATGAAATGGTCATCAATTCAAGCAAAAAAATAAGAATTCTTTGTACTAAATTTGAAAGTTTTAAAACTCACTTGGTAACACCGCCGAAATTGGCTAAATTGATCAATTCTGCCCAAGTTTATGAAATCTAGCTGAAGTGGTTGCATTGGTTAATTCTTCTCATTTACGAAAAAATATACTTGTACATCATATTTAAATACTCCCTCAGTTCCAAA